TTTTTTAATGAAAACCCTGTTTATGAAGTGACTTTTGTCTCGTCTTTCAGCGTGAGAAAGCAACTCAATGCAGATGGTAATGAAGAATACAAACTCTCAGTGAATGACTTTGTACTAAAGGCTTGTGCGTTAGCCTCTAAAAAGGTTCCAGAAGCAAACTCTTCATGGATGACGGATTTCATCAGACAGTAAGCTTAGTAATATTTTACAGTGACAGTTCATTATTTCTCACCCCTTTTCAAGACAGTGAGCCGGAAGGTGGAATGTTCAGTTGGGATAAATGACAACTTTTATGTAAAATCTTTTTTCAGACACCATAATGTTGATGTTAGTGTTGCTGTGAGTACAGAATTTGGATTGATCACCCCAATAGTTTTCAATGCAGATAAAAAGGTGAGCAAAATTATTTTTAATGCAGACATTTGTCTGACCTTTGTCACGCTTTTATTTTTTTGTCCCTGTGTTAAAATCTTTTGTTAAGTCTACTTTGCAGCCGTTGCTTGATTTGGTCACGCAATACTTACTGTTCCGAAGAGTAAGTTGCCTGACACGGAGACAAAACTCAGTGAGGGTCTATTTCTATCGCTGCTTTGCGAGTCAACTTTGTATTCAGATTCTTTGTTAAAAAGCAAGGTGGTTTGCTTTTCCAACGTCCTTGAATAATTTTAATGGGTGATACCGCCATGAAGATTGTAATAGTCCTCGCTAGATACTCAATATTCTATGATGTATTTGTCGTCAGGGATTACAAGAGATAAACGCCGATGTAACCACTTTAGCTCTCAAAGCTCGGGATAACAAACTTCAACCTCAAGAGTTCCAGGGAGGCACAATTACAGTGTCAAATCTTGGGATGTATGGCGTTAAGAACTTTTCCGCCATCATCAATCCCCCTCAAGTAAGTGAGGATTATTATTTCGCATTGGTGTTGTTATCTGAAATCTAATTGGCTGCAAGCATGCAACGCTTTTCGATTCGATCACAACGTCCAATCAGGAGAAAGGAAAGTATCTTAAAGAGCCAATGAGAACTCAAAGAAAAAACTAGGAAACTACCTAAAGCGCGGGAAAACGCGGGCATCTGATTGGTTTAGAGAGTGGTGCAAGTTTTCTGGACCAATCGCAGAAACCATTGCAATCTCGAATGACTATTGGATGAGGTTGGACGAAACATTTTGATTTTTCAGCAGCAAGGATTCCAAGCTGCAGCACATTCACTTCACGACATTTTGTGAAAACTGAGCTCAGGAGTTGCCATATCCTTCGATTCTCAATTTTGTTTTTCCTGATGACTTTTTGGGAAATTATTATCGGACAGCTTAAAGACGCGATCTCTCATTTTTCACGGATGGGCGCTGATACGTCCATAGGTATGAACAGAATTTTACTTGCAGTCAAACTCGCAGTCAAACATAGTTAGATGGTTAAACGTTTCTGCGCATGAGTAGACCAAAGTTTTTGGCAGTTGTTTGGCAATTCTCCTATCTTATTCTGTATTCTAATTGTTAGCTAATGAAACCACAGGCATTCCAAGCTCGTGGCGAAGTGATTTTTGATGAAATGAACTTATTCCCATCCACTAATTTTTACTGAACTTTGACCGTCTACATTTTCACAGGCCTGTATTTTAGCCGTTGGAAAGGCAGAAAAACAAGTTGTTGTGGACGAAAATAGCGAAAAGGGGTAAGTTTTGTCGTTGTAGTTGTTATTGCTTCTGTTGTGATTGTTGTTATTGTTATATCGTTATGAAATTTTCTAACCAGATAAGCGATTGCTTTCAGTACCAAATTTTGCGCGAAATTTTGCCTCCCGTCTTCTGAAGTTTTGCTCCTCGACGCCTGCATTAAGTTCCCTATTTCTTCTCTTTTAACTTTCGCTCGATTTTTTTGTTAAACAGTTACACAACTGGAACAGTGATGTCTGTCACTTTGAGCTGTGATCACCGAGTTGTTGATGGCGCTGTTGGAGCGCAATGGCTGTCTGCTTTCAAAAGCTATTTAGAGAAACCTCTTACAATGTTGTTATGAAGGGAAAGCCAATTTAAATCATGGAACAGTACTCACGGGGTAACCGAGTCTGGCGAATTTATCTCTTAAACACAGTAAAATACATTATTCCAAGAGATACTGAATTACAATTTTATGACTGATTGACATTAAAGGAGTTGAGACGGTTTTGAAGCAGTTTCCGACGAATATAATAAGTTGGTTGCTTGTTCTTGAAAAGGTGGAATTTGGGAGTGGTCAGTGTGTACATTTTGAAAAACTTAGCCAATATTTTTAAATTTCGTTCCTTGACACGGTCTACCTCGCAGCCGTTTTTTCGGGTTTGCCTCACAAAAAGCTTACTTCTATAGAACGACTACAAAGGCAGCTGAGAGAGAAAGAATCTGCGTGGCGAAACAACGGCTGCGAATGAGGCCTGCGAAGGACACTATTCCCAACAATTATTTTTCTACCTGAGTTCTTCCAACTTTGAGTGGTCTTCTTCGCTTGTAGATAATTGTATTTATTTGGATGGGTATTGTCAATGCGGTAATTTTAAACGTTGAAAATTAGAAAATGTTTTGACCTCGTCTGTCATGTAATTTGCGTATTAACAGTGACAAGCTGAACTCTTAATCTTACGATCTCAATTTGATTTTTATTACAGTCGAATGAAGTGGAAAATCGGGTTATACTAGACAAGTTTGTTTGGTTGGTTTCTTTTTAATATAGCACGATCTATATTTCAAAGAAAGAAGAAAAAGTTATAATTATCCTCTTAATTTTATCAATAAACTCTTCATTTCGCACTTCTCAGTGTTCAAATCTTCTTGTTACCGGTAGCTTTTGCTTCGTATGCAGAGATCGGGAAGGGGAGCTGGCCTTTGCTGCTTCTATGCTGGTTGAGACACACCTATGTTGTTGAGCGTTTCGGATTCTGAATCAAAAAAGTTTTGGTTCAAGTCCTAGCCAACTTACCCGGTTACATTATTGATCGTTTTTCTCAGAATGCTTCTCAGACAACAGATCTAGAGTTATTAGCACATTCTCGAAAGTCAGCAGTGTCACGCTCTGTTCACACGCGCCGACCTTGATGCTAGACTCCGAACAGACGGCGCAAAAGCCTGGGCCGGGTTGTTCAAAGCTGGGTTAAGATAAACCAGGGTTACTGTAAAAGCTGAATTCAGATCTGAAAGCTTTAAAAGGAAATTCAATGGAATTCCTTTTGTCTACAACTTGGTGTTTGGATGCTCTAAAAAGTGTAAGGAATATTATCCCATAAAATACTTTTGAACAAAGGATTAAAGAAACCCTGATTAGAATTTAACCTTGGGTTAGTGCTAATCAGCCTTCGAACAACTGGGCCCTGGTGTCCAGACGTTTCTCTGATGACAAACTATTTTGGGTGCTAAGGAGGAAGGGATCTGCTTTACTCCTTCACCAGTTGTTCCTCAGAGTGTGCTCGAACGCCTGAGTGTTTGTTAAATAATCTAGCCCTTCGGAGGCCAAATTTACAAGTACCTGCAACTTACCGCTGTTCTCCTCCAGGAAACATGAACGAGCGGGAAGGTTGGGAATTGAGGCAGACAAGGCGTTTGCTACCACATCTTATTTCGATTGAGAGTTTAGTCAAGAAAAAGTTGTGTTAGGCAATAAGTATCCACGTAAACACAAAGGATCCAATAAATATTCAATATGAACAAGTGAATTGTCTCTTGCACAGATAAAGGGTAGCCAGGTCCAGCCGCATCTCATTTTATTCTGAGGTTTGGAAGGTAGCACCGGAAATAAACGCAACTCGGATCATTTTCCACTCTAATTACACAGAGGAGCCTGAGTACCAGGCATTTTCCGAAAACTTTGCGTCTACTGCCATGAGACGAGAGAAACTGAAACGAATTCTAAATTAGAAGACACAAGATTTGTTGGTTATGAAAACAAATACTTTTATTAACAATGCTTTTATGTACAGAAGTCTTCCCAAATTAAATACACGCCACTTAAATTTTAAATTTAAAGTTACAGCAAAAAGATAAATAGTTTATGCGAAAGAGGAAATAATTAAGCAAACTTTAACTCATTATCCAGGAGAAGATAAAAACCACAGAAGAAAGAGTTGTTCTCAGTACAATCCCTTTGAAACTTTCTGTACTTCATCTTAAACAACAGAAATCAAAAGTGTAATAAATCTTTTTCCCAGTTAAGCAATCCTTTTTTTTTCTTTCTTTTTTACAGCTCATTACGTTGTCACGAATATCTCACTTTATTACACGACTCGGGTAGTCAGAGGGCCAATAACTAAAATCAACCAATCAAAATGCTCTTTTGCCGGTCAATATTCTCTCAGTATCTGAACATCACTTGACAAATTTTAATTGCCTGAGGCAAGATTGTGAACTTAACTAAATAGCATCGCTCTTCCTTGGCTTCGACAATTATTTTTTAAGCATGAGAGTGAAGAAGGAAATAACAACGACAATTCTTTGAGCAAAACTCGCTGCTATAAATAAGGCTTTTTAAATTCGAAATGAGAGACAAGTCAAAAAGGATCAGTTTTACAAAACATAAATTGAAAGTCATTGGTTAAAATTCAGTCCACTGCCAGCAAATCTGAATTTCAATCATTTTGTCAAAGTCAATCGTTATCCTTCTTGTTTTCTTCATCAAGCTGCTCATTTAAAGGAAGCCATGTGATTCTTCCGTCCTGTAGCACATGTTCCGTGGGGAGGCTGTCCAAGTGTTGAATGTTCTTTCTTACATACTCAACCAGCCGACCAAGCTGCTCCGCATCTGTGCGATTTTTGTTCTGAAACAGGTTTCTGTAAATCAAACATAGGGGTTGGTCAGTTTTTTTCAATCATTCTCTTAGTAATTTGGTGAGGTAAGCCTCCACTAGCAATGTCATTGGTGATTTTTTTTCTGAAACAGGTTTCTGTAAATCAAACATAGGGGTTGGCCAGTTTTTTTCAATCATTCTCCTAGTAATTTGGTGAGGTAAGCCTCCACTAGCAACGTCATTGGTGATTTTTGTTCTGAAACAGATTTCTGTAGATCAAACATAGGGGTTGGCCAGTTTTTTTCAATCATTCTCTTAGTAATTTGGTGAGGTAAGCCTCCACTAGCAATGTCATTGGTGACTTTTGCAACAACTATTGCTGGAAGTCATGTACAGAGTTAACCCTTAACACTGACATCAGTATGCATATTCTCCATACTGTTCTCTATACATTTGCTGAGGTCCTGCCAGGGAGAATTTTGTATAATAATCATGAACTTCTTCAGTTGGTGATCTTTTCTTTTATTCTCATGACCTTAACAATTGATTCAGGAGTTATAATTATTGTAAGGAGAAATTTGATGCTGGTCAGTCTATGTTGTCCTTGCAGGCTCTCACTTTTTGGGCCAGGCCCTTCGCCAGTTCATCTCACATAGCTTCACTGTGATTACCACAGCACCAAGAAGAGCCTGTTCACCAACTACAATACTTAAAAAATTTCACTTTGCGTTTCCTCTTGTTTGAGGAACTGACTTTTCTCGTGAGAAATAATTCAATTTGAGTTGCTTTTTTTTTTTTGAGAGAGAGAGAGAGAGAGAGAGATTAGAATAGAGAGGAGAGAATTTAAATCCCTGATCATCCTCAAAGCTAAAAGTTGGTTGGAGCCACACCTTCCCATCAGTCACTATTTTTCTAAAAACCAAAGAGAACAGATACACAACAGAAAAAGTGACACTAACCTCCATAGAACTGTGGCCAGGACTCTATCATCACACAGCAAACCCTATAAAGAAATTGAGTGTGAACAAAAATTACCAAGGCTGAAAAAAGTAACAATAAGTATACCTTTTAAATAAATATAATCTGTGACATACCACTTTTATTTGGGAACCCCACCCCTCCTACAAGTACTTAGGCTCCATAGCAGTACAAAAATGAAATTAAAGAACCAATTGCAAAACACTCTGTCATGCTCAAAAACTCCAGGAAGATCCCAAATGCAGGACTCTCCTCCTTTCCTTCCCCTTTCTCTGAATCTGACAATTTTTTCACCAATCATAAAGGAAACTCAAAAGCTCCTGCACAACCAATGTTACTCAGTAATGGTGCAGCCTTGTCATCATACCTCATCATATCCAATTGATAACCCATTGAACTGCTGCTGAAGCACTTGCAAGGTATCTCGCTTCTGAACTGAATCAATGGTCTGTGATAGGTAACAATTATTAATAACAATCTCATTATTAATTTTCTCTATTCACACTTCAACATCAAAACTGATTAACATACATCATCCCTCTTGCATTGCACATACATGTGCAGTGGCATGTCTTGGGGAGAGGCACAGGGGGCCCAGTCCCCCCTCCTTATTTCGGGTAAAAAAATTAACACAGAGGGAAGAAAAACCAGCAGGTGAACACACATAAACAAACCCCCACCTTAGCTCAAGTTCTGGATCCGCCACTGATGTAAGTTAGAGTGATTTTTAACATTTCAGGTGTTTCAATGCATTTTTCAGGGCACTAGGCCATGCAAAATACCATAACCAAACTGCTTGAAGCTCACAGAAGTAGAACAATCCTTACATCATTTTCAACAACTTCTTTTTGGAGTTTAACAGTCAAACCTTAAATTAACTCTCAATAATTCCTGGTATGTAAAAGTAATCATCTGTACAGTAACACATGCTCACCCCCAGGTTATCAATTCTTTCCTCTACATCAAGCCACATCATTCTGACAAGTGTCTTGTACATATATCTGCCATCTTTACCCTCAGCTTTGAGTCGCACCAAACACATCCTTAAAAAATACAATTCAAAGAGAACACCATGTCAATTCAGAGGCAGACAAACAATTAAGTTAAACAGACTATCTTGTGGATCCAATCAAGTTTTGGTCACAACACAAAGTTTGATCTCATTTTCATGTGGTGAAAAATTTTCAATCCTTCTTCTGAAATATTTTAAGCTATTTCCACAATGTGAGATACTGAGTAGAAAAAAAAAAAAATCAACAACTTTCCAGACATAATCTCTACTTTACACGTCATCCAAAATCTGGCAAACTATTTTGCAGAGGAAGTCCTTGTACTCTATCAGTCACAGAGCTTACTATTTTTTAACAGTCATTGTTCTTAATTGTGGTGAGACTAGTATCCAATCTGCCAACACAAAAATATTTCTGACCTAACACTTCAAGCTTGGACATTCCTCCTTCTTGATCTTTATCTACTCTACTTTATCCATTGAGACAACTGGGGCAAAAATGTTTCGCTGGTGCTCCATTGCGACAACACTTATTGCAGGGATCTATCATGTACCTAATTATACATGACTTAGTAAAAACTGACAGAAACTTACCAAATGTGAAGGTGAAGTACAAGAAACCATGATTGTAGGGTGTCAGGTAATTCAAGGGCTGTCAAAGAAAAATAAGATTCAAATGTAAACAATCTCCTCACCATTATATCTCTGATATCTTGCAAAATTTTCTGTTTGGCTACGCCAAGACTATATATTAAAAATCAAATCTAGAAAGAAATTGGAAATCTAGAAAAACAACTAGAAAAGTATCATGCATATTTTAAGTGCACATATCTATGAACAAACCTGGCCAAAATAAAAACTACTGTAAACCTGAAATACACTTTATGGATAGCCATAATGAAACTGAGTCAACCATTTAAAATCAGTTGTTATTTTAGTTGAGCTAGTTTGTTAAGTCAGGACTCACCTTCAAAGAACTCCTCAAAATTCATTCCTTCCACACAACACTCATACATGTTCCTCGCACCGCCCACTAAAACCTGAAATCACAAGGAAATTACTTAAAAAACAAAATGAAAAGAGGGTTTTAACAGTGCACATTGAAAGTAGAGCATCTACTAAATGCTGTATCCCAGATGCACTGCTCTTGGCCTGAGTCATTGTGTTGAGTTCTTAAGCACACCATTTTACTAGCATAGTGACTCAGAACCATATTTGAATTTTAATATATTGAAAATGGCCTATATTGACACCCCCCTTCCTAATTGAAAGTTTTTGATCTAAGAGACAAAATTAAATATATTTACTGAATTAACTGTGACTTACTGTTTTCTTCACTAAGGGTGCAGCCACCACTTTCAAAACCTTGATGGTTTTATCAATCCAAGTTCCACCATTTTCTACTTTATTTTCCATTGCACCAACAGTGCCTTCTGAACCCTTAAATCAAAATTGCCAGAAAATCATATTTCATTAATATTAGTAGAACAAGGAATGAAAAGAGGGGATATGGAGTCCAAGGCTGTGCTCAAAGAAAAATTGAAGGGAGCCCAGTGCTCTGAAACTGTGAAATCCAGGGTGCCTGGCATATGCTTTTTCTGAAAAAACTAACTAAAGATTCCTGAGTCAGCCAGGAGCAAAAGTAAGGGCCCGCTACGGGCCACTGGGCACTGCTAGAGCACAGCTGTGGAGTGAAATAAATTAATTACCATTTTACAATCAGAAAGGAGATTAAGATCAACCATACACCGAATCGAAATATGGCATCCAATTTGAATTGCCATTGTTCTGGATATACTAGCCTCTCACATATGTGATAATCCTTTTGTGTTTTCTCCATGAAGACGAGGCTAGTAAGTCCAAAACAATAGACCACTTTCATAAATGGCTGCCGGATTAATATTCTTTTGTTTAAATTTAAATTAGCCCTACTGGCCTTGTTCTCCAGTACAAAACTCAAAAGAATACATTATCTCAAGCAAGGCCAGTAGGGCTAATTTAAATTTAAACAAAAGAATATTTATACAGCGGCCATTTATGAAAGTGGTCTATGGTAATTTAAATTGGACACCATATTTTGATTCAGTGAATATGTTACCAGTACCTTTTCAACTCTTAAAGCCTTAAGAGTGACTAGCATCTAAATTCTCTTCACAATATCACTCCTGAATCACATATTAATTAAGGTCATGAGAATATCGAAAATGATCACCAACTAAAAAAGCTCTGGATTGTTAAGTAAAATTAATTCTCCTTGTCATCACATTATAAAATGTATTAAGAAGAGTATGGAGAATATGCATACTGATCTTGGGGTGTGAGGGGTTGATTGTCAGCCTGAGAAATTAGGATTATAATAAACAGTCCCTTAGAATGGAAACGGAATGGAAATTGTTGGTGGTGGGTTAAATACAAATCAACAGAACTATTTGCTACAGCCACAAAAATACAGCTTCATTTGTACTGGAATCAATTTTTTTGACATGCTAAATATGTACATCTTCTGATTGTTTAAAAAAACACTAAATGAGTTTTTACCGGAGCAGATGACTGGAATCTGATACTGGAAGCACTAGCATTTTTCAGTATGAATCTGATTGCAGTGTTCTTGACTTCAGGTCCATCATCCAACATCTGCACCTGTCTGCATGCCAAGCAGCTCAATGGAACCTACACTCAGAAAGAACATAACAAACTTAAATTTTTCAATAATAAATATGTTTCAGGCCCTTCTTAGAGTCAATTTCGCCAGAGCCATTAGGCAAGTTTTATAATGGGCCCTGAGAAAGGTCCAGAACATATTTATATATGTCCAGGAACATAAACTGTATTAATATTATCATTGTTTTAAAGGGCATTGACGAAAATGAAGTGAAAAAACAGTCTGAACTATGACGCAAGGATTCAAGCAGGCTTAAGAGTCAAAATCTCCATTTTATCCTGAAAAATTTTCCGCAATAATGTACCTGATAAAGTGATAATCATAATAATAATAGTTTAACGCTGATGTTTCTTGTGACAACGGCTCGAGTCCACGGACTTGTACAGTACTGGAGGTGTAGGAACTGTGTTATGTAACAGACCGTTTTAACACAAATAGTATTTCAGTATTCAAATAAACGAGGATTACCATTACCTGGAAGGTATTTGGGTTAAATACATTCTTGGATAGCAATAAACGCCTGAACGTTCCGGTAGATGCGAAAATCAATTTCCTACCAACTGAGTACATCCTGAACTCGCAAGCGCTAGATTATTTGAAGACGTTAAATTTCACGACCGACATCACCTGTAATTAAGACAAAAAATGCTTAAGATGATTTTCGTTACCTTCTCAGAAGATTAAATTTGTAATGTGACTAAGCAGTTCCATAAAAACAAGGATAACGAAAGTTTAAAAGGCCTTGAAAACTAACATGGCTTAATAGTCGGCTTAATGCTCACTAGAAGTCCGCCATATTATGCAACATGTGGCTGCGCTTAACCAGCGGTAGACACTCTAACCCAGACTTTCTCCGCAGGGAAAAGGCCGCTAGAATGGCGGCCGCCAATGGTTACGTACCGGCCAAACTCATCAAAGAAGTCATCACTTTGGATGGTGTGCGAACGGTTTTATCGAAAATCTTACCACAGAGGAAAATTCACAAGTATGTGGTTGTGGTGATTCCTGGAAATCCTGGATTGATAGAGTTCTATGATGACTTTATTACGTCATTGTTTGAGGCGCTTCAGGGGCAATTGCCGGTGTTTGGTGTTTCTCATGCCGGTAGGTTAACACCTCGGCCTTCAATAAATTGCATTATTTAGGTGTTGTTTTTCCCCAAACGTGAATTTTTTTTACATCGTTTAAAACTTGAGCACGTCCGATTACACAGATGCTTTTTGTGGTTAATGAGACTTTCGCGTGATAAGGGCAAGGTCGAAAATTATGAACTATCACGCACAGTTATCACGCGCAAAATCGAGATCGATCATTCCAGTTGTTTAAGTTTAAATTCAGCAGTATTTCAAAACTTAACAGTGAACAGTGTCGTGTTTTTGTGGAAATATATTATAATTCAGTGGTTGGAGTTGACTCTCTCATTCTCTTGGACTTAGAGTACCTTCAGTGAGGGAGAAACTGTTAATTAAGTCTAAACACAAGTCTAGTGACTTACATCACCAAAACTCATTTTGGATTTATTTGCACAAAGTGACATGGATTATTGCTCTATCCCCAGGACAGTGTTCTTGTCAAAGGCAAGTGAGCAATGACCCCCTCCCCCTTAGTCTTCTTGTAACTACTCATCAGTATTCCCTTACAGTTTTCCTGGGTGGGAGGGTGGAGGTGAGAGTAAAGTGTTTTTCCCAGGAACACGTACACATCACTATGACCCTGCCAGGTGTCCATTGTGGACTTCTTGACCTTAAGGGGCAGTTATTTAAACAAAGTTTAGCAGTTGTTTAGCAAATCTTTATGCTAAAGAATCCTCAGTTTAGCTGGACCTTTTATCTGAACATCTGTTTTTGTAAATTGTGTCAAGAGGACTGAAAGCTAACAGTGGAAGGACATTGATCTAATCAAATCAGCCTTCTTAAAGAGAAATCCCAAGCCCCACTGATTAGGTTAGACCTCGTGTAAAAAACTGACCTTAAGTGTCCTGTTTGCAATCCATCATAATGCTGCTTTATCCCTGACAGAGAAAATACACATTCAAAAAAGGCTTAGTAAACAAGTCATATCTCAATTTAATCAGACTTTCTCTTTTTCAGGCCATTCTCCTATAGATTGCTATCCAGCAAGTCCAAGAACAAACTGCTCTGCCAAACAAAGCTATGCTGCTGA